ACATGACCCTGGGGATGCTGCAACGGTCATAAGTGTGAAAAATGGTCATGTCACTTTTTTCAGTGCCGTTGTAACTTTGAACAGTCACTAAGCAAACTGTTGTAAGTCAAGGACTAATTTTACGGGTTGGGGGTCACCACAACATGAGGAACTGTATTAAAGGGTCGCTGCATTAGGAAGGTTGAGAACCACTGATCTAGATGCTACTTCATTGATATGTACACTGTCCTCTCAGGGGAGACCGGCAGAAATAAAACTGGATAGATACCCAGACTTTACAAGCATCACCTTAGCACATATTGTGTACAGTACTTAGCTCCAATTATACAGTATCACCATCTGCTGTGTTCATGTGCATTAATGGGCTTTAATGCGATTTGTGTTATTGGGATTTGATTAGACCTACCAGGTACTTAATCCAAAAACTAGTCTGTGCCAATCTCATCCTCTATTATATTATGAAATGCTTGTAGTGGAGTTACAGACAGTATGCAGTCTGAAGAATGGTATTACAAGAAAATCACTTAATTCTTGAGCAGAGATGTTTAGCTTTAAAAAATAGCTTTAATAAATCCAACAATGGTATACAATATTCCCTAGCAATTCCTTAAAAGCTAGTTCCTGGTGTACCAATAGCTTGATTGTGATAAATTATATTACCATGCAAATAATAATTCTGGGATGAAACAACTTGTGTCTGCACAAGTCACCATGATGAAATAATCAATGCATCTGGATCTCATATCACAATTGGCTAAAAAATAAGCAGAGTTTTTTGAGAGTTTTTATGAAGTTTGCCAATGTGTTTATTTTACACAAATATTGTATGTTTGAGTTCCTGTAATGACAGTTAAGCCACTTATCTGATATACCTTGCCTATTTTGCAAAAAATATATAATAGGTTTTAATTAAAAGAAAGAAATAATGTTGAAATAAAAACTTTACATCTTCTACAAGCTTAAAGTTAGAAGACTAGATTTAGGGACAGGAAGAAAAGATAAACTATTTTAATGGCAATTTGCAGGCATCTATATTCATTATAGTACTGTGTGTAATAAAAAAAGATGCTAAACAAATTTACAAAACAAAATGTTTAATATTTCAGTTATATTTTCTGTGAAAAGTACAGCAATATATGAAATAAAATATAAGAAAGCAAAAATTAAGCTAAATCTACTTGGGCAGATTAAAAATACATGGCTTTTTAGAACAAATTTCGAAGTAAATTGCTCATTATATAGTACATAATTTTGAACTTTTGATTATTATGGCTCCTTTCTTGTCATGTATTGATTTATTTTATATTTCATGCTAATTTTATTGTTTTGCATGATTTTGACCATTTTCATTACAAAAACAAAGCTATTGTCAAATTTTTCTTCCCAGTTATAACAATCTTTTCCTAGAATACTTACCTGGATTTTCTTACCTGGATTTACTATTTACTAATTGTGCTTGGTGTCATTATTAAATTGTCTTGGGGATGTGGAAGTGGCAGTGAAGTATATTTTAGAAAATAGATTTTTCCATAAACATTAGTATATAATATGAAAACCCTTCCTGGGAGAGACCTTTAAGGTGACCTTTTTAAGTGGTCAATGATTGCATAAAAATGCCATTACAAGAAAAATAAAAACTTTTGGAACACATGGTTAATAACTAAACTGGATCAAATGCAGTTTCACTAGATCACTTACATTTACCACTGTCTATTCTATACCATTTACTCGGTCTGTATTAGCAAGCAAGAATTGCTAATCCAATGTTTATATAGTCCTGGTTCCAATAGGATGGATGGTTTTCTTAACTGGTCTCAGTCTTAACAGATCTCAATCTGATTTATTATGCTGTATTCCTAAACTATATTTATTATAACATGTGGCTAATTTATCACTTTAAATGGCAAAAGAAACAAAAACCTCTACACTCGAAAACCAAAAGATACAAGAAGAGAGGTGTCTAATTTTGCCCAAGCTACAGTTATATGGCACAGCTAGGGCTAGCAGATATTGTAATCTTGCAGATGCTGCTCTATCTTGACAAAAGTCAAGTTGGCACATTACATTCTGTCTCACAGAAAGACAGGCTTGCCAAATCATGCATCTGTCTGTTTATTAGTCTTCTTCAGGAGTTTTCTCAGGTTAGATGACATGAAGTAAGGCTTCTCAGTAGAGCCATCATTACGCTCCAGGTCTTCCACTGCAAAGAAACACAAATCCCCCTCAAGCAAAAGGATGTGAAAAGATCATTTCGGAACTAAAACAAGGAAGATAGACTAAACATGCAAATACACATAGGAGTAATCCTGGTTTATGGAAATTAAGGGAAACTTGACCACTTCTTGCAGTAGTGATTAGATCTCACTGAGCAGAAAAGTACCTATGACAGACATTCATAATTAGACTGAAAATGATTCTGATTTGAGAATTTTCCTGTTCTGCTATTCAACAGAAAGGATGTTAGAATTTTCCATCCAAAAAGATCTGGTTAGGGACTTTTTAAAACCCTATCTTAAAGTAAGGGATAAATCTTGCCATTCTCAAAGATTCCAGGCACATCCATGAAATCTGAGGTCTTTTTTTTTTCCTCCCATGGAATACAAAGAAACTGAATAATAGCTTCCTTGTTCAGAAAATGTCATTAGCAAAGCAAAAGTGGAGTTATGTAACATTTTCCTATTATTCACATTTGAAAATTATTCTTAACCTCTTTTCTGAAATTAAACTTCTCTAGATAAAAATTTCCTACTCATAAGTAGGAAAACACGAAGTGTTACAAGTGTACTATGCAAATAGAAGATAAGAATCTGGCTTTTTTATGTTTCAGCATTCCTCCTTTAGAACAGTTGTGTTAATCTTTGATGCCTTTTGTTGATTGCATCTCTATATAATGTACAGAAACAGAAAGACAGAAGAAGCCTCTCCAAGGACTTCCTACCCTGGAGAGGTTTGCTAATAGTTTAAGCCAGCAAGAAAGCACTTGTACAGAAGCAAGATATTTCCAAAGAGCTGAAACTAATCTGAAAGAGAAATGATGCTCATTTTGGTTATCTTCATCCCACTATTTACTTCTGTTTGCATACAATAGGGGTCTTCAAACATGGCCCTTTTATGGCTTGTGGACTTCAACTCCCAGAATTCCTCAACCAGGCATGCTGGCTGAGGAATTTTGGGAGTTGAAGTCCACAAGTCATAAAAGGGGCAAGTTTGAAGACCCCTGGCATACAACTACAATTGCAGTTATATACTAATTCAAAATCTGTTCCAACCAAAGGAAAGTATACTATTAAGTAAGCAAACCTTTGTCAAAGTATTTTATTTATATCAAAGCAGCTGCTTTCTTAAGCATCAAGATATTGCTATATTGGGCTATCTTTCTTATAGATGGTTGCACATGGAATATAGGGACATTTGGTATCTGGAAAGGTCGAATATTTGAAAACATTTTTATTGTAACAGAAATTGTTAATGTATTACTGTGGATATTAATTTTACTTCATTTTGAATTGTTCTGGTGTTATTCTTTGTTCACTTGATAAGATATCTGTGCCAAAAGCAACCATAGTTAAGACAGCAATAGCAGAATCATACTGAGGCATTTTCTTCAACTTTAAATACATTCACCCTCCAATTTCAAGTCCTTCTTTGGTATTGGAAAATCTGCTGGACAGAAACAGATTACAGTATATACCACCAATAACTACTTGCTTGATGCAAGTCATGAGCACCATCATTTCTCAGAATATCAAAAATTGCCCATGAAGGTACAGCATCTACACACAGAAGGTTTGCAGTGGGACATCTGCATCCATCTTTTCCATTTGGTGCATTGTCCCTATTCTTGACTCTCAGCATTTTTGGAAGATTTTAGGCTTCCCTTCAGGAGGATTTCACTCAAGGCACAGGACATGTAATAAGGCCGCTCAGGAGTTCCATCGTTCCTTTCCAGATCTTCGCCTTTTGGAATCCCAAACAAGACAGAGAAAGCATCCATAAAAGAATGTACAAGAGAAGCAAAGCAAAGCAAAAAATAAACAAGGCAAAGAGATACAAAGCAAAAGGGGAGAGAAAAAAAGGAAATGTTGAAGTTAGTTGCAATTAAGATTCCTCCACTAAGGAAAGAACAAAATAGCTTAGACAGTAGCTTATTTCAATGCTATTTTATAGCACAATCTTGCAGGTATAGCAGAAAGGAATTGCTATGAATTAATAGATGTGGAAAGGATGAAAAGTTACTGGTTGCAAAAATCACAAAAGAAATTAGCTTTTCATCATGCTACAATAAAACTAAAACTACAGTGCAATAGGAAAAAAGTCTGCTTTAAAACTGAATATACATTCTAGCCACTTCATTATCCACTTCACATTAATTTGTTATTTTCTGTTACTAGTGGTTTTCAGACTAAAACCATTTAGCAAATTCTTGTGATCTTCTAAAAGCTTATAATTCATTCACTGGCAAGCTAAGCAGAGGGCAAGTAGGCTTAAGTACTGTGTTTCTGATCCTAATCTTGGACTTTGATAAAAAATTAATTCAAGATGGAATATTTTCAGAAATTTTGAGTTAATTTAAAAGACAGTTTTTTCTCCCTACAGTTTGCTCAAAAAGAAAAAAACATTTCTGGAACAGCAAAAATATATGCAGTTTTTTAATTTTTAAAACTTACAGATACAAAATTCGCTGTTATTTTACAAAACTTGTATAACTTGATTTGCTTGTACAACAAACTAAATTGAAAAATATGGTTTATGCAGACAATATTTGTAAATTATTTATTCTATTGAATTAAATGTTTTTAAATTTTGTTATAAAGAGTTGCTGAAATATAATGATTGGTACTTGGATTTACTGTACAGTAATTGCTAGCAACTGAAAAAATTCTACAGGAAAGGATTAAGTCCATTACTTCTAAGTAGACAGTGGGACTTTAGATTCTTCCAGTCTCTTGCAGGAAACCCCCTTCCTTCAACTGTATGCATTAACTTCAGCTAAATGTAGTTCAATTTCCTCACTGAATACTTCACTGTAAAACAAGAACTAGCACTAGCAAAACATGACACTGGAAGAACAATATATAATGGTTGGCTCACTCATCTCCATCAGGGCAAAGAACCATATCATCTTTGTGAATTATTAATCAGGCTAGATTCCTATTACTTTTCCCCTCTGTCTTTCAACCATCCTGGTGAGCTATAGCCTGTTATTGGCACACCAATCAGCTGAAATGTGATTGCTGGCAGCCATGTTTGCTTTCATGCACTCCTTGATATTTTTCTTTTTCCTCCTTAGCTTTCAAAATTACAGAAAAAGTCCCTGCCTCTTCCAAGATGTTACTGCTCTAAAAGTATTTCTTAGAAGACAAGGCACGAGATAGGTATCTTCAGAGGTCGTCTGGAAAAAAAGGGGGTTCTTCTATTGAAATAGGAAGAAGTCTTAAGCCCTTATTGAAGAGGCAGAATTAGCCTTTTGTCTGACTGACTACATTTCCAATAACAGCATATCAGCAATACTGTGATTAAGCAAATCATGTATTCTGTTCTTTCCTTTTTTTTACTGGATCAGAGAAAGCCCTAATTTTCATGGGGGAAAAGGGAGGAAATGAAAAGAGGAGAGTCAAGGCTCAGGATACAGATTTGACTACAGGAAACTGCTAATCATTCTCATTTTCCAAATCTGAATCACTATCCCTATCAGCAATTTCTAGTTCTTTATTTATGATCATTTTGAATCTTAAAATTTACCTATATTGGCAAACATCTCTACCCTTTTACATACTAGTTTACTTTATTTCTTTAATGTATTTCCAAACAAACTGATTTTTTTCTACATCTTAATCATTTTATGTTGTTTGAAATGAAAATATTACAAACATTTATCATCCTCCTTTCTATTAAAAAGAAATCATGGAAGAAAAAACTTACATTTTTCTAGGCTTGAAAAAGCTAAACATGATCCACTTATATTAAAAACTTAATATTATTTTTATACTTTTTGTCAATTTGTAAGTTACTCCTTACTCCAGAACTGCCAGAGTTAAAATATGGAGATGAAACCTATGCCACAGATACCCAAAAGTTTTCCTTAACAAGAGGTCAAGAGAAAGCTTATGTTCGGAAACTTCCCACAGGATGGCATACTGAATCTGCTGATGATTAGCTGATTTTTCTGCCAAATGCCCCATCCAAGTGTAAAAAACTATTTCATTATCTGACAAAACTAAATGTTGACACAATTTGCCTTCAAGAAATACATATCAAGAAACAAGATAAGAAATACCTAATAAATAAATGATTAGAGGAAGAATTTATATCTGTTGGTTCAAAAAAGACCAATAAAGTTGTTTTATATATAAAACCTCAACTTAAACCCATTCGTGATAATGGAAATTGAACTTAATGGAATAAAATCAATAGTGGTTGGCGTGTATAGGCCAAATGAAGATAAAAGTATTTTTTTTTTAATATCTAATGCAGCGGTTCTCAACCTGTGGGTTGCGACAGGGGTCGCCAAAGTCCTGGAGCTTTTCCTCATAGAATCCTTATGAAACGCAGTCCGGCATTTTTGTTTTGGTTTTTTTCCCCTTTTTCATGAGCTGTGCTACTCCCTCTTATTCTATTGGCTTTTGAAAGCCAATAGAATAGACTCTATTCAAGAGAGTCTATTCTATTGGCGTTCGTAAGCCAATAGATTCTATTGGCTTTCGAACGCCAGTAGAATAGACTCTCTTGAATAGAGTCTAATTCTATTGGCTTTCAAAAGCCAATAGGAATTGTCCAGGCTGTCTCTGCCCTGTTGAGCCCGCCCAAAGTCCCAGTCGGCAAACGTTGCTGCAAGTTGTCTGCAGCTAAGGCGAGCTTTCTGGAAGTTACCACCCCTCCCTGCTGAGCAACTACTAAATGTAAGTAAAAGAGGGCCAGGGGTGGGAGGGCCGCCCAGGAGCGCCTGGGCCTGCCTGCCACTGTACCGAACGGGCAGTGGCCAAGGTAAGGCTAGCGGGGCAGCGGCGGGCGCTGGGAGGGTAGCTGGCGCGTGTGGGGCCTGGCGGGTGGGTTACCTCCCTTGGGCTGGGCCAGCTGGTGGCCCAGCCGGTGGTCTGCCTGCGCCGTCGCTGCTGCTTGCCATGGCCGCCCAGGAGCACCTGGGCCTGCCTGCCGCCGCACCGAACGGCTGCTCCCTTGCTCCAGGCTCGCTGAGCTCAG